GGAGCCGTACCGTGCCGTACCATGCAGTGGAAAAGCGCCATTTGTTGACACTCCTAATTGAGATTATTAGGAGTGTCAAGGGTCCATTTGAGAGATAGGTGGCGGTAATGCACTTATAAGTCTGCGATCCGCCGTAAAGCAAGGCGACGACGACGCGTCACGCACCGGCTGAAGAAGAAGATGCGAGACGCGCTCAGGACAGTTCGGACATTGCAGTGAATCAGAGGTAAAAAACTATATAAATACTGTTCAGTTTCTTGCACAGACCGAACATTTTGTGTCTTTACACATCAATGTATCGTCACGAGCTGCAGTGTTTAATTTGTTTTTTTTTGTGTATGTTTTTTTTTTACTCCCAAAGCCGTGATTCCCATTCACTTCCATTATAAGACTGACAGACTGCAACGGTTTGAGTTAAAAATCTTCGTTTGTGTTCTACTGAAGAAACAAAGTCACCTACATCTTGGATGCCCTGGGGGTAAGCAGATAAACATCAAATTTTCATTTTTGGGTGAACTATCCCTTTAAACACATTGAAAAATATGAAATGACTTTGTCTCCCTCTGCTGGATAACTGGACTATCAAAGAAATAGATCGGGATAAACTAGGGTGACCATACGTGCCATTTTGGTCACCCTAGGATAAACTAGACAATTTGCAACACCATTTATCTGTGCCTGCATATGGATTGGCCAAAGTACCCTCTTTTGTAGGATATGCATCATTTTCCATGTCTTTTGAGTACTGTGTGGCATGCTTGATCATCTGGAGATCTGAAACCACAACCTCTTTGCTTTCTGTCACAGGATCAAAGCGTGTGTACCACATCAAACGACTGATCTGGAAAATAACAAACCCTTTATATGAGTGTATTTCCCAAATTAAAGGGATAGTTCAGCCAATAATTGTAATTCTGTCATTTCCTCAAGCTGTGCCAAACATGTATGAGTTTCTTTCTGTCTGTAGAGCGCAAAATATTCTGAAAAATTTCAGTAACCAAACAGTTGATGGTAGCCATTGCTTTATATAGTATTTTTTTTTCCATACTATGGAAGTCCGAAGTGTTTGGCTTGGAACAACATGAGGGCAAATAAATTATTTTATTTTGGGGTAAACTATCCCTTTAAGGTTTATGAAAAGACATTTCTGAATGCAAAGTATTTTTTTGTGAAATTGCAAAGTGGGTTAGGGTTGGTCTTTTGTGTGTGTGTTTTCTAACCTGCTCCGGTTTGGGCTTCTCTGTAGCCAGACTAACACACACAACCACGATGAGTGTGAGGACAGTGAGAATGATGGAGAAGTACAGGTAGTGAACATATTTGATGATGTCAGGCCTGTTGTCGATCTCGTAGCACTGTGGTGTTGGATAGACGAAATCCAGAACCATCCTTGTACAGCCCACCACCATGCCCACTATCAGACCCCAGAATGCACCCTACACCAACACAACAGAAAGATGAATGAAACAAGAGACCAGGTGTCATAAATTGCATTCTTATGCACTATTCTGTGCGATTTGGTAGTATAAATAAGTAGTCTTCAAACTGAAAATTCCCAAAAAGTGCACTTCAAATACTCTGATGATGTGCTTGCCTAATGCAAAAAAAAACAAAACTGAAATATTGAGCACAGTGAAATATTGAACAATTCATGCACTCAACAAAAGCAGAGGAGGAGGGGCTATCAGACTCTGATGCTGGATGATAAATAACCTTCTGAGATTCATACACTAGATGGAGTATGTGATGGAAAAAATGCTTTGGTAAATCATAATTATGAGATAAGTCGAAATATGACGGTCAATTATGAGATCAAATTCACAATTATGAGATAAAAAGTTGACAACTGTCATTGAGAAATCTGAGAAACTAAGTCATAATTATGAGATCAAATGTGTTAAATTAAAAAAATTGAAATTATGGCATACTGTCATAATTATGAGATAAAAGACTGAAACAGTCATCATTATGAGATAGAAAGTCATTGACAAAAAAACACAATTTTTGAAACTGACACACAAATGACACAAAGTTATTATTATGAGATAGAAAGTCATTATGACCAAGACAAAATTATGAGTCATCATTATGACAGAAAGTCATTATGACAAAAAGACAAAATTGTGAGTCATCATTATGAGATAGAAAGCCATGACAAAAAGATCAAATTGAGTCATTATGAGATAGTCAAGACAAAATTATGAGTCATAATTATGAGATAAAAAGTTGAAACTATGGCATAATTGTGAGATTTAAAAAAATCACCTTTTCATGTCAATGAATGT